ATATATATATATATGTATATATATGCATATACATATATATATATTTATATATATATATATATACACACACATGTATGTGTACAAATATATATATATATGTATATATATATACATGTATGTGTACAAATATATATATATATATATATATATATTATATATATATATATATATATATACATGTGTGTGTACATATATATATATATATATTCATATATATTTTTCATACTCGTATATATATATATATATATATATATATATATATATATATATATTCATATATACATTTTTTTCATACCCGTGTGTGTGTATATATATATACTGATCTGTTCATTCATTTACCTATCTATAATGTGTATTATGTTCGTTTATAAATGGTAGTATACAGATATATATGTACATGCATACACACACACACATACACACACACATACACACACACACACACACACACACACACACACACACACACACACACACACACACATATATATATATATATATATATATATATAATATATATATATATATACATAATATATATATATATACATACATACATATGTATATATATATATATATATATATATATATATATATATATATATATATATATATATATATATATATATATATATATATATATATATATATATATATATATATATCCTCACAATCCCTTCCTTGTGGTTTGCGTACGTTTTGTATATCAAACCTTTCACCAACGTCTTTTTGGGGGATTGGAAGTTGCGCCATTGTAATTCAAATATTAGAGCTACAAAATAGGATATAAAAACCGAGGTCACAGCATAGATGTATTTACATAATGCGTTCACATGTGCAGCATTTGAATAACTACGAGATATTAAAAGAAAACACTACGAGTATATAAATAAGGTGATGCTTAGACGAGTAACATACATTGCTTTTAAAATAATAACTAACTTTAAAAAATGATCCTACGTCACAGTTACAATTAATGAAAGAAAAACTTCTTTGTGAAGCCGAAGTACCTCAACTCGGGTGACGAAGAAGGAGAGCTCTTGCTGTACTCCTTCAGGAATTCTCGGTAGAGGTCACCGAGTTCCTGCTCAGCAGAATGGTCTGCCAAAGCGCGACACAAGGACCAGCTGAAGGAGGTTCCTTTCCCATTCGGGACGCAGTCGAGACCGATGCTGTTGGAATATATACAAGCCATGTCCTTGAGAGGATCTGCCAATCTCACCACTTTCGGAGATTCACTGCTCGGAGTCGTAATAGCTTCACTTGTTTTGAACAAATTAAAGATGAAAAGTTTGGGTTTGTTTTTGAGCTGAGGACATTCGGAATCTTTGAAGAGATTCAGAATGTAGTCTGTGTCGACACACTGCATGTCAGATGTAAGAATCTTTCCGCCATTTACACCATAGCCAGATATGACAAATATAGCACATCCGACGTCCGTCCGTCAGCACATCTGCGTTCCTAATATTCAGAACTTCCTTAGTCTGCTGAGCCGTGAGTGACGAGCGTGTTTCACACATGTATCCCATCTTATCAAATACATCTGACATTATGCGAGCATCGTAGTCGAGTTGCTGAAGGTTCAGGTCGGATCTGTCCTTGAAACAACTGAAGTTAAAGAAGCGAACGAAGCCTCGTGCCTCCTTGTCCATCTTGTACACATCAGCACCTCCTTGAATAGTTGTTGCCTGTCTCACATTGAACTGTCGTGTAGAGACCTAGAATTTAATGGCATTTGAAGTTAGGTAAAATATGGTTATCTGAAACTAATTTACGTTTTCAAACGAATAACTTTTTCATTATATCAAACTAAACCCAAAGCTCCAAAGAGTATTTACTCACTTTAAGTTCTGATGCGTTTAAAACTGCTGATGTCGATGAACTTGTGAGAACAGTTTCTTTGTTGACATTTCTTGTTTTCTGGAATATTTGAAAGGAATAAGAATTTTCGAGTCCCATAATGTGATATACTCGGCAATTAAAATGGCGTTTTCTTTCATTTATAATATATCACAAAATACCTTAGCAAACATTGCCGCAATCGAATCCATGTTCAGGGCATTGGCCAGCAGGCGAGGCGTTGTCACTCCAAGCTCTCGTGCCAACAGTCCATCCACCAGCTTTCCGCCGTGACTGTCTGGGTCTGCACCAACTGCCAACAGTCTTTCTGCTTCTCTCTTGCTTCCTTCCAAAACTGCCTTGAACAAGTGGCTACCAAGCTGTAAATTCCAAAAGAAACTCTTAGAAATGTAATTTCTACAGAAGTAAATACACACCACAGCCTCATGTAAATAACTTTAATGTTAACATTTCCAGTTCCGTGACTGATACTTACCAGCGATTTTACTGAGTTCTGGCGATTATCCCGTTTGTCGGCATCGAAGTCAGGGTCACTCATTAAAAGTTTCAGCACTTGCGTGTGACCCTTTTCAGCGGCCACGTGAGCTGGAGTCTGTCCCTCCTTGTTGGTAATATTGGGACTGATCAATTTCAGCAGAAA